TCAGACTTCCACTTGTCTCGCTCTTTTCAAAACTCCTTGCATGGTACAACATTCAATTCAGATGAGAGTGTAAATCAGTACCTTGTTTAGTTTTTTGCAAATAAAGACATGTCCTTTTGTGAACGAGGAATTGTGAAGCTCACTGAAAGATGGCAAAAGGTTATCAAACAACATGGGCAATATATCATTGATTGATCTTTGTGCTTTATATAAATAAATGACCTTTGAAAAACATAGACAAAATACATCATGACTTTTCTGACAACCCAATATGTAACAAACCACCCCAAAACTCATTGGCTTCAAACAGAGGTCATTTGTTTTCACAGATTTTCAGGTTACCTAGAGCAGCTCTGCTCCTTGTTTGTTCATTTGGGGGAAGAGTCTGAGGGGTTGCATTCCCTGGGACAAGCTCTTCTCATGACACATCAGAGGTACAAGAGGGCAAGCAAAAGATATAAGATCATTTGAGGCACAGGTCAGAACTGGCCACTGTTGCTTCTGTCAACATGCTATTGGCCAACTCAAGTAATATGGCCAAGCCCCAAATCAAGTGCATAGGAAATGGACTTTGTCCCTGTAATCAAAGGAACTACAAACTGACACAGCAAAGATGGGGTACAAGGAGGAGTGAAAAATTGGGAACAATTGTGCAATCTACCATGGTGTCTGAATAGAACTGAGCAGCTTTGGAATGGACTAAAAATATTTTCTTTTTAAAGCATTAATGGATTCTCTGAGATCTACTATCAGGATGTTTTACTGTTTTTAGAAACTATAAGAATGAAATGAATAGAGATAGAGCCCGAAGTAAATTCAAGAAGAAGAGGGGGAAAAAAATTCATATGCACAACATTTTTTTAACCTGGAGTGGGCTGAAAAAAATACTTGACTAAGAAGAAACAGCTACTGGAAGCACACAATTGTATTTTTTTTCCTGCCTAAACTGCACTCTATGATATAATCTAGAAAAAATAAGTAGATTCTTTCAGGGGAAGTGTTTATCGTATTCCCAGTAAAATCATGGGTTTCTCATGAGGATAAAAATACTATCTTTGGGAGCAGTGGAAAAATATAAAATTCATTAAAAAATATATAATTCTTCTTTGCCTTTCTGTAGATACTGAAGATTAAATTGGGAAGCTAATTTATAATCTGAATGCTTATTTTTAGAGAGCCTGATTTGGGGTAATATCAGAAGAAAGCAAACACTTTTGATGGGTTACAGTGCAGGTTACAGTTGCAATTACCACGTGTTTTTGCTGATCTGTTAGCTCACCCTGTTTGTATAGGACAGCAGCTGGGCTCACAGCTCCTCTAGCTCCTGCCAGACCCTCTACAGCATCTCCAAGCCCTGGGCCAGTGTATGCATTATCTGGGGCAACAGTCACGTCTGCGGTTCCTCTAGCTCCAACTATGTCCTCAGTTTCTCTGACGTCTGTGTCAACTCTATGTTCCACTTGGTGATGAAGGGAGCCAGGTTCTTTTGCATGTCACTGTATCACTGAACTAGAGGCTGGAGGCAGTTTGAGACTCACACAAGTACTAGCTTGTCTTTGTCTCCATCTTTCTTTCGTGATTGCCAGTCCTGCTGACATCAGACCCAGTACCTCGTGTAGAGGCAACAGCCATAAAAAAACAAAAACAAAGCAAAAAAACATTTAATCAGCTTCCTTGATTATATAAGGTCAAATTCTTGCAAGAAATCCCTGGTTTTACGTAATTGTTTATGGTTTTGCTTCTCTGATCAAACCCTGACAGAATACAAGGGCCTTACGTAAAATTTAACATGATTTATCTTTTCTAATATTTTTTTTCCAAATACCCAAATCCTTAAGCCTATAGCAAATACTCACTAGATAGCAGGCACTGTGATAGGCACTGAAGGAAATAAGATGAATAAGGCAGATGATTCCTGGCCTGGGAAGCTCAGTCTGAGCCCCATATACATTGCTGAGCTGTAAAGGAAATGATAGCCACTATAAATATAAGAATATTATCTTCCAACTCCTAAAACAAAGCTGGGTACTCTAGTGACTTCTCTGTAACCTGTGATGTGTGTCTAGGTAAGTGGAGCTGCCTGACAACATGTGTGTGACACCAGGGAATAGGGTAATATGGCAGTTACTTGCTTTGACTTCCCAGTGACATGTCACAGTTTTAAGTGGCCTGGAAATGGTGAAACACATTTTCCCCGTTCCCAGAACATAATAATAGAAACTGTACAAAAATAGTATTGTTGATAAAATAATATAGGTCAAGAGGTTAGAAATCCAGCTTTCTCACTAAAGCAAAAAAAAAATCCCAGGTATCAGGAGTCTGGAGGCAGAGAGGTGAGGGGCTTTGCCGGCTTAAAGCTAAGGGGAAGTTCAGCAACAAACTTAGTGCCCCTGGGAGTGTTACCATAGGCAGAAAGAACAGGGTTGCAGGGAGACAGCGGGGAGGAAAAGAAGGAAGACGTGAGGGGAAGCAAAGAAAAGAGAGATGAGAAAATTCCTAAGAGAAGATGTGGCTACAGCTGATAGTAATGGATCATAACACTATTAGCACTGCAGGCAGGGAAAAATCTCCACCCCCTGTATCACTATGGCAGTCCCTACAAGGGAATTCCTCCTCCCCACGGGAGGGAGTGGTCAGCAAAGACATGCCCTGGAAACGCCTGTGACTCAACCCCTGAATATTTCATGCCCTAATTCAAATATAATCCTAAATTTCTCTGTTGTTGAGGCAGCTACGCTCTTTGTTCCCCCTGGGTCTGTCCACCCTCATGCCGTTTTGAGAGTATACTGGACTATTTATTTCTTTACTAAATCTTTGGTTTGCTTGGCTTATTTTGCATATATTAATATTTTGGTAGTCCTGGAATTCCTTCCTGTGACATTTACCATGGACCCTTTCTATCTCTGGTAAGAGGAGGAGGCCAATAGACCACATTTACCCTAACAGGAGAGAGGGAAACTGTGCAATGATGCAGTTCCCTGCAGCAATGTGTTCTATACACATGATTCTAAAGTTAAAAATAGCCTCATAGTTGGTTAAATATATTATGGCACATCCATGCCATGTAATACTGTACAGCCATAAAAAAAGAATGAGGTGTGTGTATGCAAACTGATGATGGAAAAAGCTCTAAGATGCATAAGTCAGTCAAGCAAGGGGCAGGCTGTGGATAATGTGCTACCATTTGGGTTTACAGAGAAACAAAAATAGGCTATACACATAATTGCTTATATAAATATGGAATATTTTTGAAAGGATTCAGAAAAGCCAGTAACAATCGTTATCTCTGGAAAGGAGGATAGATAGGCTGGGGGACAGGGGTAAGAAGGAGAGTTTTCACCACATATTCTTGTACCGTTTCCATTTCATGCCATGCGAATTTAATAGTCGTCTAGAATAATAAATAAATAAAATAAAATGTAAACATTAGAGGGAGAATGGCCAGGTGAATATAAAAGGCATTGGGAAGATAGCCCACCTATCATGGGAGCCCCACAGAGAGAATTGATACTGGGAAGGCTGAGAATGCACCCACTGGCCCTGCTACTTACTGCAGCATTTGTCCAGATGCCTAGTTTCCAAGTGCAGAGAAATTAGGGCTTGAAAAAGTACTTTGCAAATAATATGGCGCCAATCCAGTCTGAGGTGAAGAGGTCAAGGGTAATTATTTGCAGTAAAGACCATTACAAAGGACACAGCCACTTATTTGGTAGAGCTAATCGCTCCCCTTCTGGCAAATTCCCCAATGTAATGAGAAGACTGGAAGGTTGGGGCGGGTGGGGGACAAGGGGGGGAGGGGGGAGTCTTCTCCGAAGACCATCCCATCCCTTTACCACATAAACTATCAAAAACAAAACAAAAAACGGACAACCAAGAATCCAAACATCCTGGAGAAAATCTAACAGGAGAGTAAGTGTTGGAACAACAGAAAACTCCTGCCTGCTAAGAGCTAAGAACAGAGCTATTTATTAACCATCTCAGGGGCACACTCAGCAGAATGTAGCCTTGTATGACAGAGCCTCAGGGCTTAAAAAAGTTATTGAAGGAGAGAATCCCATTAGAACCTTCTAGGGACTAGTTCAGACACTCCCACGTCACACTGCATTCCTCAGAGAGTGCAACTCCCATCTCTTTTAGGAGAAATCAGCCTCTCATTTGCTTTCTCAATCACAGGTATTTCCACCTTCATGTCTGTCAAACCACCAACACAGAAATTCCAAAGGCAGCTGCCTTTTCATCTGGAAGAGAGGCAGCCAGAGTCCTCAGTCTTCCCTCGCAAAACCCCCCAGGCCCCAGAGTCTAGAAAGCATATATTTCCAGTAGAAAAATGCTCAGCCCAGCCCTGTCAGGATTGCAGTCTTGGTGTTTGTCATTATGCATATTTGAAATGTTCAGAGGGAAAAGGGAGATGAAAAGACTTAGGACCCTCAGGCACATTAGGAGTCATCTCACCTCAATTAGCTTTTCCTCCATCCTGTCACTAGGTTTAAGGGGGACATGAAAGGAAACTGCAGCTGCAGGATGCCCCTTTGCCCATCCCCCTCCCAGCCCAACCTACTTTCATCTCTTGCCCTAAAAAAATAAATAGGACAGTGTAAGGAGAGAGGGAGAAAAGAGATGCTGGTTCACAAACCTCATTTTCTACTGTGACTCTATTGCTCTGCTGTTTTAAGACCATCTTTACCTGGACCTTACTCCCCTGCATTCATGATCTTTCTTCTAAGAGATCCTGAGTTTCTTTTCCTGAGTCAGAATAAAATACCCAAGGCAGAAAATGCTCTGTAATGAAAACACATCACCACCTTTTCAGAGCGTGGCTTTACACAATTATAGCATGTATGAGCTGGAGGAGAACTTAGACATCATCTTTTTCCAATCTATCATTTGCAGGCAACTGAAACCCAGAAAAGTTCATTGACCTGTCCAAGCTAGCTGCTGAGCCAGTGCTAGGAGGAAGGTTGTCTGACTCCTGTCCAGGATGTTTATCAATAGACTTCAAGGTGAGAATTATAATGTTTAATTCTTTTTTATGCTGCATGCCTTATACTGAATTTTGAGTATATTGTAATAACACTACATATTGAGAAGTCACTTCTCTAATGATGTCAATTACTCATAGCACAGTTAACAATCAGAAAGCAACTGAAAAGGATCAAGTACTCCGAGTAAATCGTTTGAGTTTATATATTAAGTTTATTCACTTCTTATATAGGAAAGGTCCTAAAGCCTTAACTCAGTCTATTTACTCTAACTTTGCACACAATCCTAACAAGTTTAGGTATTTTATTTTTTTCACTTGTTCAATACACATCCATTGAAACCCTGCTCTGGACTAGTCACTGTTCTTGGAGGTTAAGCGTTCAAAGATAAATAAGGCACAACCTTGGAACTCATGTTCTAGAACTGTAAACCTCCAATGCCAAGGCAATGTGCTTATATGGAGGTTGCTGCAGGTGCTATGGGGTCACACAGTTTAGCCTGGGGGAGTCCGAAGAGACCTCAAAGAGCAGGTGAAGCCTGTGCTGAAACTGGGAGAGGAAGTAGGTGTTTATTTATCAAAACAAGGAAAGAAGGACATTCTAGGGAAAAGGAACAACATGGAAAAACTAAGGGGCATGGAACAGTGTCTTGTCTTCCAGGGACTGCAAGTTTTCTATGACTGGAGCATAGGGTAATGTCAGGGAGAGGTGGGCTTATATACCACTTCCAGGAATTTGGACTTTGTTCTGAAGGCAATCGACAATCAAACAAGAGATCATTAAATTTCCACATTTGAAAGAAAACTTTAGTGACCTGTTGTGAGTGGATTGCATGTATAGGGGACCGTGAGACTAAACTCAGAGAACTTGTTCAGAAGGTTTTTGTAATAGTCTGTGAAATATGGGGCCTGAGTACACTTGAGAGCAATTTAGGAGATTGAATTGTGAGAGAAATGTTGATCTTGGAGGCAGAGGGTAAGGAAAAGGCAGGAGATGAGAATGACTCCCATATTTCTCGCTAGTTGTTTCCCAGAATTACATGATGTCCATCTTTCCTAGTAGTAGAAGCCTTGAATTTTAATGGAAATGGGAGAAGCCCATATTTCTGAACCTTTTTTGAGGCCAAGTGACTAAGTTCTGGCCAGCGGTTGTAAGTGAAAGTGGTACGTGAAACTCCCATCATGAGTCCTTAATGAACCTGAGCATGCCCTTCTCCTCCTCTTTCTCCTATTTTGGTGAATGGAGTGCAGCGTGATGGCTAGAGATGGAGCAGCCATCTTGGAACACAAGGTAGAAACTGCATATGGAGGAGGGTAGAGCAGCGAGATTGAAAGGACTTGGGTCCCTGATGATTACCGAGCTCCCAAATCACCCCTGAAGCACTTTCATTTACATGCAGGAAAATTAAACTTCTATTTTGTCTAAGCCACTGTTCTTTTGGTTTCTGTCACTCACAGCCACAGCAAATGTTAACACAGATAACCAGGCAGATTGTGCCACCATAGATTGAGAAAGTGAATGAAAAGAACAAATTTGGGAGAGGGGAAAAATATATTTTTAGATAGGTTGATGTTAAATTGTGTCTGGAACTTCCAGATAGAGATATCAAGCCAGCAGTCCGCTCTACAGGTCTGGAACTAGGAAAGGGGTTTGGGATGGAGACCCAAACTTAACAATGGCCAGTGTGGAAGTGGCCGTAAAATCCATGGGTGTGATTGTGAGTGAAAAGTGAATGGCCAAGAAAGGACTCATAACTGGGGGTCATAGAAGTCAATTAATGTAGAAAAAAGGGAGAATGTGTGTATTCTGCACACAGAGACAAAGTCACAGTCACAGGCAATGTGTTCAGGCCAAGCTGGAAGGAACAGATGGACATGTAGCTAGAATGGAGCACAGAGGCTGATGGTCACTCTACAGGCCCCCATGCTGTTGATATAGGAACAGTTAAAAGGTAGTCTGAGTATTTGGGGGAGCACAATGACTAGCAGATCATCTCACAAACAGGGGAACAATCAAGTAATTAAGGTATGACATTGAGAGACAGTGCATCGTGAGTACTTTCATACAACACCCTGACCAGGGAAGTTTGACTCCTAGCATGGGAGCTATCTATCCTCTGCCTTGGTTATAAATATCTTCATGGTGGAGGCAGGCACCTTCTAGAAGGCTAGTGAATCTCGTCAGAGCAGGGCAGGTCCCTATAGAAGCCAGTAATTAACAATGTTTTGATTCTCTTCAGAGTTCTACAGAGGGAGAGAGGGAGAGAGGGAGGGAGGAAGAGAGGGGAGAGAGAGAGAGAGAGAGAGAGAGAGAGAGAGAGAGAGAGAGA